CCCTAAAACTTTAAATTTGAGGCAATATCTCTCTCTAAAAATTTGTGATAGTTTTTCTCAATAAAAACATTTATATACTTTCTCTCTCTAAAAAATTTAATATACTTTCTCTTTAAAATTTGATATAGTTTCCCTCTCTAAAATTCTAATATGTTTTATCTCTTTAAAATTTGATATAGTTTCTCCTCTAAAATGTTAATATTTTTTTTGTTCTTCAGCAGCAAAACGGATCATTTCCATGAAAAGTCAATTCCTTTAGTGGAATTAAGATTTCGAAAATTTAAGCTTAAAATGAGCATTTAGGAATCCTACGAAAATCTCAATTCCAATAGAAATGTTAATTTTAAGCGAACCCAACTTTCTAGACAAAGTAACTCTTGGAAATCTGAATCCAATGAATATTTTAATTTAAGTTCTTTTATGTGTATTTTCTTATTAATTTGTCCATATATAGTTTTATCTTTTTTTAGGGCTGAATTGACGTCCCATGGCTTGCCAAGTCTCGCTCGTCGAGTCGGGCCGAGCATGCTCCATATCAGTATGGGAGCTGAGCTGGTTTTTAAACCCTAAAATAAGTTTCCCTCCTCACACTCATGGAAAATTAGTATTAAGTGGTCATGTCATCATTTTTTTGGTGTTGTCTCATAACATTAAGGGAGTTTTGGGATTGGTGGAGTTAGAAAAAAAGAAAAAAGAAAAAAGAAAAGAAAAGAAGGCCATCAAGTACTTTTATGGGCACAATAAACCTCTCATATAGATAGGTGGGGGGATATTTTCGCATCAAATGGTCCAAATGCATATTTTATAGAAATTGTTCCCACACCTAACCAAGTGCGATAATTTTTTTACGTAAAAATATTTTCTTGTGAACCAAACTTCCTCGTAGATGCATGGAGAAGAAAAATAATTTTGTACGTGCAAATGGTGCCATATTTTGTGATTTGAGGCCTATTAAAAAGAAATGTGAAAGATGGTCCAGTCTAATTTCAATCTGGAAATGTACTCCACGAGTCAGGAAATGCTTGCATCCCTCGAATATCAATCGTCCATTTTAAAGATGGACGTAAGAAAAACCGGACCCAATAAAAATCTCAAATATAGAGTGCAAGAAAATTAATATAAGGAACCACGTTAGAGTGCAAGAAAATTAATAAAAGGAACCACGTTTTCAGATTCATGATCACCGTAGTCTAGATTATGGATGCCAAATTGTGTGGATCCAAAATCCATTTAAGAGCGGAAACGCATGTGAACATATGAGTTAGCAGACTCATAGAAACCCATCCTTTTAATTTTAACTTAAGCTCTTTTTAACTAACTTTTATTCTAGCTTAAAAGCATTGTAGATCTTTATACGTTTTTTTTTTGGTAATTTAGTGGGAAAAACGGGCTCAACTCTTTTTTTCAACTAATCTAAGAATTAGTTTTTTTGGAAGTGTCGGTAGGGTGGTATGAGCAGGAATGAAAGTCACAACATGGTGACTAAGGTGTCCGGGTGCTACCTACTACTACCTAGACGTTCATAATTAAGGAAAGGGGACTCAAAAGTTCAAGAAATTTATTGTCAAAGTCATGGAGATTTCTTATCGAGATTCAACAATCTCTAATAAACTTTCCACCTCTAAATTTAGCGAAGTCTATGGAACATTAATCGATTCCTGTGATTTTGAAAGACCTTCTTGGAGACTTTGGGAGATTCTTGTTTCCAAGTCTTTGTTAATTGTCCACAAATTTAGTAGATTGCTCCAATGAAAAGGGGTCATTAGTATAGAACCTTTGAATTTGAAGTTGCATAAGATGCCTTCCAGTTTCAAAGGAAATTACACAGGAGATTACTCTCTCTCTCTCTCTCTCTCTCATTGTTTACTTTATTTTTTAATGAATTGATCATACTTTCCTAAATTCCAACATATGATTCTCTATCTTTAATGGCCTAGATTCTCCGAAGTTTCTCTCTCCTTTTGGAGAGTGGAGATCTGACGATCCCCAATAAAATAACAGCAGGAAAAGTACGAGCCCTCCAGGAATATCACATTGTAGCTTTATGGGGGTAAAAGAGCTATTTAAGATATTTTTTTTTTTGAAATTTTTGATCCACTATAAAATTATCATATGAGTATTTTGGAAACAGAAATACTGTTTGGGTTTTTGGATACTAATTAGCTGACTCCAATTAATTGGAAAACAGCTCTGACGATGACAAATACTTAAGCTGGGTGTCCACAAGTTAGATGATATGTGAGATCGTTAATTTCTTAGGCAAATGTGAAGTGCATTTGATTTTTTATGTTTTTTTGCATTCTTTGCTTATCTGAGATTGCTCTCTAGATTAAAACTCCGGCGGCTTAAATATTAGGAAAATTATAAATAGCCATGGAGCCAACTTTTTAGGCATGCCCACCCTTGTTACTTTTGAAATCACATAAATAAACCCAATATTATTTATTTTTGTACCTATAGATTTTGAGATCACATCAATAACCTCAATATTATTTATTTTTATATCCACGACCATGTAAAATAATAGTTCTTTTAGGATGAAAACATCCCGTATAACCCACGTTTCTTGCACCCACCCCTTACTCTTTTAAAATGAAGCAGGTCAGGCATATAGTGTGTCGGGCCAGCTTTTGCTCTCTACGAAAACTGGCCCAGCACATAATGTGCTGGACCGGCTTCATTTGTTTAAAATAAAGCCGATATGACATGTTGTATGTCAAACTGACTTCTGGTCCTTATTGAAGTTGGTCCAACACATAGTGTGCCCGCTTAATTTTTAGTTCCCATTGAAGCTGGTTCATTACATAGTGAGTCAGACCGACTTCTTGGTCCCCATTGAAGCAGGTCCAGCATAATGGAAGCCAGACCGGTTTGATTATTTTCCTCAAGAGAGAGTCAAGGTGCAAAAAATATGGGCTTTCATCTAAAAAAATTAGAATTTTCTCAAAGCGAGTGGGTGCAAAAATAAATAGTATCAAGGTTAACAGTGCAATTTAAAAAATATAGATGGATATCTACAATTTTCCCTAAAAATTCTTGTAGACAGAATTTTACCTAAGGGAGTGGATGGAGGATATGCTCATGCGTCCTTTGCATGCAATCTTTTGAGGAAAAAATATATGAAAAAAGAAAAATACAAAGTCAGTTGAGGGGCAAGGGACCTTTTTCTTTTCTTTGGGGTGAATCAGGAGTAAGGGACTTATTTCAAGGACAAGAAAAGAATTTGTTCCTTAGGTCTACACAAAAAGTGTAGTTATCCAAAGATAAGATTGCCTTAATTCTTTTACTTTTCCTAGTAATATTCTCCAACGCTGGTGGCCTCCATTTCTCCTTTGATAAAAGTGAAATTAAATCGAAAGAGACAATTAGAACCGTCCCTCAAAATTCATGGGAAGAGATTTGCGGTCTTGCAGGACTACTGAGAACACAGTCTCCTGCCCAAAAAGGCATGATTGTGGATTTCCTTTTTATCAAAATTTTTAAAATTATTGCCAAATTAATTTGAAGAAAAGAAAAGAAAACATAATTGAGTTGGAGCTCAAAACAATTGATATGAGAAATCCCATGGGCTTAATCTAGGAACACGTTTATATGTATAGCCTTATTTGTAAAAATAAAGTTGCCGTAATCTACACTACACCGTATATTTTATTTGGATGATCTAAATTGAACATTATCTTAAAAAACTTGTCATGTATTGATATTATCTTAAAAAACATATCAAATCTATACTATCTGAATAAGTTTTTTAATACTAAAAAACCTAATTTAGGTTTTGTGGAAGATACTCAATTGTTTGTTCAAGTGATTTAAAAAAAACCGGATCAGCATAGAATCGCCCGATCTGACTTGGGAATAGGGCTTCCCATACCGATTCTTTCGATATATAGAAAATCGTACTATCTAGAAGAGAGGTGGCAATTTTTTTTTTTTTGGGTGAGTCAATGCGGAGAGGGCCACTACCCTTGGTAAGAATTGAGCGTATGATGTAGCAATGCAAATCATCAAGCGCTAACCAATTAAGCCTAGGCTCTTTTTATGAGAACTAGTTATTTGGTACAGTAAAACATCGTTTTGTTATAGTACAAACGACGATTCATCGATCCAGACTGGTTTTTGGTGGGTTCACTATTTTTGCATGTTTTTTGCCATTTCTTTATTTTCTCTACACAGTAAAACAATAATCCAGACTGTTGATTGAGTGATTCGGACCGATTTTTACGATACCCAATCAGGGTCACCAATCCATTTTTTAAATCATTAGTACTTTGTTCATATTCTCAAGAATTTTACCGGAAGGAGTAATCGCATCGGGAGCACAATGTATAATTACATAAAGGGTGTGGTTTGAATAGAGCCGAGGCTCTAAACAATCAAAGTAAATCACATATTCAAATAGTATAGAGAAATATGGTTTCAATACTAGAAATCTTTGTGCTAGCCTTAAAATATATTTTTATCTTTAATTATAAAATTTAAAGCTTCAAAAAATAGATGGAGTAGATATATGAAAACTTGAAATATTGAAAATTAATGGTCCAAAATTGTGTTACAAGATACATCATTCGAAATTTATTTTTTTCTCATATCCATATATTTTGATGTCGAGATGATCGATTTGAAGATATTTAGACATAAAAATAACCTCTTTCAGTAAAAGTCTTGATGTGGGATCTAATTTGTTTGTTTAGAGCCTAAGCTCCTTGCATAAAATATATTAGCCGTAAAGGTAAAGGCATAGAGATAGATACCCATGCAATAGTTACCGCGAAAGATTGTGATACGTAGAGTTTAAATGAGGGTGATGAAGAGAGATGATATAAGAGAGAGAAACAAAGCGGGTTGATGAGATCACGCTCATGAGATGCCAAATTTTAAGAGAGAGAAAGGAGAGAGAGAGAGAGAAAGTGGAGAGTGAAAGTTAAAGGGAGATAAAAGTAGAGAGAGTGAGAGAGAAAGGAGAGAGCAGAGGGAGGGTAGAGAGAGGGGAAGAGGGCAGTAATGTGGGGCCTGAACTCTCTGAAACTTTTTCTCTCTAAAGAATTAGGGTTAGTGATGGGTCTCACAGGAGTTGAGAAAGAGCAAGGAACTTTACAAAGGACGCGGTTTGAGCCAGCTTCTTACGTGTGGCTTAGCCGCATAAAACCTCACAAATGACGACACTCATGTCGTCACCACACAACGACTTGCACTGCTTCCATCACTCGCAGTAAGAGGGGAGCAGGTAAGAAATATGAGGAAATACTGTGCCCTAATTTACAGTATTCCCTATCCATTTTGCGATCTCTTCTTCAGCAATCAGTGCTTCTCTGCTTCTCTATCATTTTTGTTTGGACTCGAGCACCTCTGATGGGGATCTATATGGGTATCAGGCCAATCTATAAGGGATTTGTCATAATATTAACTTGTCAGTGAAGTTTGGATTGATTTCACGGCAATCTTCTGGATCCGGTTTTTTTTCTGGTGGATTTTCGCTCAGTATTGAAGATTACTGCTCTTTAATGGTTATCTTGTGAAATTGAGGTTTTATTTTAGTGTTTTGAGCTGTATTTGATTAGTTAATGGAAGTGGTTTTAGTTCAGTGAGAGGATCAACTGTGTAATTCTTGGTGTTGGTTTTCTGAGTGAATTTCTCAAGACTTTTAATGTTGATGAAGTTTGTATGAGTTCCTTAGCATTTCCTCTTAAATTTTTCTTGACAAGATTTCCTCTTAAATTTTTCGTATGATTGATTTTAGATGGGTTTTTGGTAGAATCATCAAGGATCCAGAGTTTTCCTTGTCTCTGCACAAGCCTTTCCTGAACTTTCCAGTTCTTAATTGATGTTTTGGAAATTGAATCAATGGATAAAGGCAATTCAGTGATATTGCTGTTCAGTACATGCTCAGTGTTGGAGTTCTCTTTACTGGTTTTTAATCCAATCTTCCTGAAAGTAATCCCAGTTCCTGGAGGCTTTCTCTCATGATTTTGTGTCAGTTTTATGGTGGATTTTGGCATCTGTGCAATTACAGCAGAGTTCTTCCCTGCTTATGATCTTCAGAAAAATAAGTGAGCAAAGGTTTTGCTGCTAAATCCGATATCATAATGTTCTATGTGCCCATTGACCAAGCAGCAATCTCAATGCCACATCTTCTTGTTCCAATTTTTCTTTTTAGGTTGTATTAATATGTTCCATGTAAATTTTGTTGTGTTTCTTCCGATCTTTTCAACTCTGATCATTTTCTATAGATTCTCTTTCCTTTGAATGTCCACATCCGTTTCTACCGTATCCCTCCCGTTACTCACCAGGCAAAATATATACGTTCCCTTTCATTTGGGTCTAGCCGAAACAAAACTCAAACGTTCCCTTTCATTTGGGTCTAGCCGAAACAAAACTCAATTGAGCAAAGGTAATAGGTAGATGCCAAGCTATGGAAAACCCAACAGAGTCATCATGTTCTCGTAGTTTTGCTTCCTCTTCTTATGTGTCAAATGGAAGCAGCTGCGCCAACCACTCAGTTTGCAATGGCTCTGAACCTGGGTCTTGTATGACTGGCTCCCAACGTAATACAACACCAGGCCCCGAAATCAATGGCTTAATGAGGCTCAGCACTAACCTTGAAAACCTCTTGCATGAACCATACAACGGCTTTAGTGATGCTGAGATTGAAGTAGAGGGAGTGCCCATCGGGGTTCACAGGTGTATATTGGCAGCAAGAAGCTCTGTCTTCAGAGAGGTGTTTTCTAGAGAGAAGAAGCATGAAGGAAAACCCAAGTACTCCATTGAGGAATTGGTGCCATCTGGTAAAGTTGGGTATGAAGCTTTCAGGATTGTTTTGAACTATTTGTACACAGGGAGATTGAAGTCTGCTCCTCCCGAGGTTTCTACCTGTGTTGAAAAAGTTTGTGCCCATGATGACTGCCGCCCTGCTGTTGATTTTGCAGTTGAGGTGGTTCGGGCATCAGCTGTTTTTCAGATTCAAGAGCTCGGCTCAGTCTGGCAGGTTAGTTTTTCTTTCCTTTTTTCATAAATGACAGTGTCATGAAGTGAGAGGGAGAAAATACAAATTGCAGTAACCCCAACTTTTCAGTTTGCAGTGGATTGGCCCCTTTTGTTTCTTCTAACAGTGAAAACAGTGCTCACATTCACGATGTACTATCATCTTAAGTATTTGCTTCTATCGTAACATAAACGATATCAGACTGTTGCCCTTGCTTTTATTGCTTTTGTATTGCTCTATTGCCATTTGGTTTGGATCTTTTTTTGTTTCATGGAACTTGGGTCATTAGATATAACCATAACTTGTAAGAGATTTTTTGTGATGGAGCATGGCCTTCTCTTCCTGGAATCTAGCTAGTGTTATAATGCATATCATCTTTGAGTTGGAGGCCGTTGTTTGACTAAGGTAAAGGGATTATGTCTGATTTATTGGAAGGAAAAAGTTTGTATAAGGTTGCGACCTTAGAATGTAGAATTAAAGATGCACCTCAAACATCAATCGGAAAAGGTTGTTTTAATGATGGAAAACCCTCTAATTGATCATCTCGACATCGAATTGTATGAATATGAAAAAATAAATAAAATTTAAGTCCTAGAAATAGTGCATCTTGCAACACATTATCTAGACCGTCCATTTTCAAGATATTCATATGTTTATAGATCTACTTGATTTTAACCATTTTTGGAGTTTAAAATTTTATAATTAGATATGAGAATAGATTTTGAGATAATCCTAAGAATTTTTTACATCAAAATTACATGTCTTGATAAAATTTGGAGGTGCGCCGTAATTGGATTGTTTAAGGTTGCAACCTTATAGAAACCACACCCTTATTGGAAATAGGCTCAATTGCTTGAGTAATTCATATTGGGTACATAAGTGAAGGTTATAACATGCAAAAGGGAATTGGATTTAAAATTTTATGTTGCACTCATTTGAGACTTCTTACTGATGATTCGACTCAGTGTATTGTGTCACCAATCCTTCTATGTGCAACTGATGTTTTTGGAAGCTGGAATTAATAAAAAATGGGTGCAGTTTGCATAGAGCCGAAGCTCTAAACAATCAAAGTAAAGCGCACCTTCAAATAGTATCAAGAAATGTGGTTTCAATACTGGAAATCTTTGTGATAGCCTCAAAATATATATTCATCTTTAATTATAAAATTTAAAGCTTTAAAAATAGTGTCGATCGAGCAGATCTATCAAAAATTGAAAATCTTGAAAAATTGACAGTCCCAAAATTTGTTACAAGATGCACTATTTCCAAAACTTGAAATCCATTTTTTTTCTCATGTCCATTCATCTTGATCTCGAGATGATCAATTTAAGGATATTTGGGCATCAAAACAACCTCTTCTAGTGAAATTTTTTAGGTGGGCTCTAATTTGATTGTTTAGAGCCTTGGCTCTATATAAATTTTTTCCATAAAAAATTGGTTCCTTGATTGCTAATTATTGTTTTCAAATATTGAATTTCCCTAACATGATAGGATAAATGTACAAACAAAGGAGCGTAAATAAAAGATTGCACATACGTGGTGTCACCTATGGGAAGAATGTAGGGACACCTATACTGCCCAAGATCCATGTTGTTAGTTGGGATAGAATGAGCAAATTTGTTTTATTCTTGTCACTTCGATTGGAGATTAACTAACAAACTTCCAGAATCTATCTTATAATGAACCTCAAGAAACAGTTGATGGGGCTAATATGCATGACAGGAGTAGCTTGATGATATAATATCCAGCTGTCTTATGACTACTTCAAGGTGGTTGAAAGAGCAACATGGGGTTAATATGCATGCTAACAATTTCTTGATGGAAGAATACCAGGAGAAATGTTGAACCAACCAAAATTTTGGGGCCCCTGATGGGTGCTAGATATCCTGGTCTTTTCTCTCTCTGCCAACTCATTCTTAACTCCTGAACCTTGGTTTTCTTTCATGGCCTTCTTTTCAGCTGAATTTCTATATGTTGAAAATTCCAGTTCTACATTACTCGGGCACAGCCCCTTTGGAGCTGTTCTTCCCACAGCGAACAACCAGTTTTATGCATCTTTAGTTCCAGAGTGTGGGTTCCTGAAAGGAAATTGATATCCTATGGTCCATGAATCTCACATGGTTTAATGAAAATATATCATTATGTAAGAGATCATTTACTGGAAAGACCCACATTGAACAGGGAATGAATTCAAAATAAATCATGCTCTAATTAATAAATGGCCATAATATCTTTGAAACATTTTTTTGTTTGCCTTGAATTTGAAATTCACTTGTGACAATTCAGAAATTGGGCTATTAGTTATCGAAACTAATATCAGGGAAGTTTCCTCTTACTGGTGTATCAATAGTGGGATCGGATATAAGACAAACTTGGGCCATTTTGAGATCTCATATTGGGTCATTTAGGAAGTGTAGGTGAAGTTTTGTAATTATTCATTTAATGCTCAAAGAACCTGTGTATTCAAATGCCCATTGCACATTATAAAATGACAACTAGCTCTTCTGGACTATACCTTTCATCTTGGATGAAGAACATACCCTGGTGCCTATGATTTTGATCCAATGATTTTTGATGGAAGTGCAATGGGTCTCTGGCAAATTTCATATTTCAAGGATGTCTTTATTAGGCTGCTCGTAGAGGATAATTTCCATTATTCTGATTCTTTTCTAACAGCTATCTTATGTTTGGTTTTGATTTCTTTGTTTTGTTAAGATTTTGACTACCTGAATAATATCGTGGCAAGAAGTTTCTCATAAGTGCAGTGGAACGGGGAAAAGTGGTTCATTAGTCCCACTTACAACCTTTTATCAGTGCACAACTAATAATAGGAAAAAGTTTATATAAGGTGCCAACCTTGTACTGTAGAAAGAAGTGCACCTAAAAAGTCAACTAAAGAAGGTTGTTCTGATGTTGGAAAACCCTTTAATTGATCATCTCGACTTTGCGATTCATCGATATAAAAAAAAGTGATTTCAACTTCTAGACAATTCATATTCTAACACATTATCTTGACTGTTCATTTTCAAGATTTTCAAGTGATTACACGTCTGCTTGATTGTCACTGTTTTTAGAGCTTTAAATTTTATAGTTAGCAGTGGGAATATATTTTCACATGCCATCGCAAGGCTTTTGGTCACTGAAACTACATCTTTTGGCATAGTTTTGTGATGTACCTTACTTCAATAGTATACACCTTACACAGGCCTCATCCATAATAATAACAATAGTAATGGCAGTAATAGAAATAGTAATAGTAGTAGTAGTAGTAGTAGTTTCTCTTCTTGCTTCTGATCAACTCCTTGTTGCCTCCATGCAGCGTAGGGTAGTAGTAGGAGTATATATAATACCCAAATATCCTGTCAACGTTTGTCTTCTTGCTTTTGATCAACTCCTTGTTACCGCCATGCAGCGTAGGCTTCTCTCTTATGTGGAAAAGGCCCAAGTTGAGGATGTCATACCCATCCTCCTCGTTGCCTCATCTTGCCATCTCTCCCCTCTGGACACCCATTGCATACAACGAATGGCACGCTCTGATCTTGATGACATCTCTCTTGAAAAGTCATTTTCTCGAGAAATAGTTGAAGAGATTCTCTCTCTTCGCCTCAAAAGCCGAATAGATGATGAGCCTCTCTCTCCTAAAAAAGACCCACTCCAACTTAAGAACTTCAAAAGGATTCATAAGGCCTTAGACTCTGACGATCTTGAGCTAGTGAAGATGTTATTGATGGAGGGGAATACAACCCTAGATGATGCTGAAGCCCTTCACTATGCAGCAGCCTATTGTGACTCAAAGGTGGTGGCTGAGCTCCTCGAGCTTGGGGGTGCTGATGTAAATAAGAGAAACTCGAGGGGCTATACGGTTTTACATGTGGCGGCCATGAGGCAGGAGCCGGCGGTGCTTGTGGCCTTGTTATCCAAGGAGGCGAGGGCTTGTGAGTTGACAAGTGATGGGAGGAGTGGGGCTCGCATTTGTCGGAGGCTTACAACGCCTAAGGACTATAATACGCACACTGAGCAAGGGCAGGAGTCGAGGAAGGAGAAGATGTGTATAGATATACTGGAGCGTGAGGAGAGGAGGAACCCGCTTGTTGAGAATGTCTCAGCCTCTGCGATGGTCTCGCCTGAGGAGCTGCACATGAAGCTTCTCTACCTTGAGAACAGAGGTAATAATCTTTCTGATATAACTATGGCAATGGTGTTGGTTTTCTCTTCATTATATTCCTTTACGGAAATAGATTTTGGAAAAACCATAGTCCATGGGGTACATAATGATGGGTAGTAATGGAGACTGGAGATAGATAGTGGGACCCCCCTCGAAGGCCATGGCCTCAATGGCGTTCCCTACTCTCTCCATCACTGTCCAGCATTCCTACAAGCATGACTCCAGTGGTTGTGGCGTTCCATTCAATGGATTGCAATATGCTTATGGTTTTATATTATTCTGTTGTGCTTTTGACAAAATAAATTTGCTTGTTATGATTTGGCTCAACACTGACCTGAATCCTAGTGTGTAATAGCACTTCTAAATTAGTGTAACATGGCGTTGAAAGCTCAGTCGATCATGGTGGCAAGACCACCCTCTTGTTCTTACAATGTGGATATTCCTTTTCTATGAAGTTTTGTTTTTTTTGAAATTGTTAACTGTTCCTTTTCTTTGAAAGGTTATGCTAGGGTACTCATACATGTGAGTATTCCCTTAATGTATTCGACTTTTTTGGACACTCGTATACCTTAGATAAAAAGTTATTACAAAGCAACGGTATTTTAGTGTCCAAAAATGTTTGAGTACATTAAGTACTCATAGTATGAGTACCCTAACATAATCCTTCTTTGAAAGACTGTTGACAGTGCCACATTGTCATCTTCATTTGATTATTCTGATTGGAAATCACTGTAGATGGGTTTAGCCTTGTAATTTATAATTGTGCTTATTTTTATGTAATGAACTACTACACATTGCAGTGGCCTTTGCTAGAGTGTTATTCCCTACTGAGGCGAAGCTGGCAATGGATAATGCACAGGCAGGAGCAACAACGGAATTTGCTGGCCACTCTCCTTCAACCAGTTCCCGTGGAACATTGGGGCCGGTTGATCTCAATGAGACTCCAACCTCAGTGATCAAGAAGATGTATTCTAGGATGGCTGCCCTTCAGAGAACAGGTGAGCTTATGTTTGATTTCGCCATTATTCTAATTGCAAAAGCATCCCTTACAAGAAGTCACTTTGCATTCCTGATTAGTTATTCCTAGCTATTATACTTTACACATGCTGCTGAGAAAGAAATTGGTCACTTTGATCACCTACATGTGCAAGCTTACTGCACTTTATTTCTGAAATTCGAGTCTATTTTAGCCAATTTTGCGGGCATGGGGTATTGGATTATCACCTCGGAAAACTTGGATAGTTTGGGAAGATCAAGGATTTCTTAGTCTTTCCGTGAAATTGTGAGCCATATGGATCTTTTCTAACACTACTGAAGTTGATGTGCATGTGTATCACTAAAGCTGTTGCTTTGCACTGGATTTAGAAGTTGGTGAGAAATTAGTCACTTTTGTAGTTCTATAAGCCGTACTCTTTTTTTCAGAGAAGATGATAGGCTTTTTCCCTTTTTTCTCTTTTGGGTAGTGGTAAGGGAATACTTGACCTTATGCCTAGGTCTTACTGCACAATGGCCAAATGCTCATGGTTCTTGGACCCATTTGTTCGTTGGGTCTTCTGGTATAATCAGAATGGTGTATTTTTCTTCTGAAACCAGCTAGAGCCTGCAAGTGTATGCTTTGGTAGGTCTCAATCCTCTATAGCATAAAACCTTTTCTAGTTGAATAAACAGTGATTAAAGATCGTTTTCGACTTGGAAATCTCACCAAGTCAATGCGACTTGGCTGGTTGCCGATTTTAAAACTGAAAAGCTTGGAATTAACACACCCCCCCCCCCCTTCCCCCCCTTTGTGTGTGTGTGTGGCTTTTAGTGAAGTGGTAAGACATGTAGTGTGACTTAACTGAAAAGCTTGAAATTACTCCCCCCCCCCCCCAACTTTTTTGTGTGTATGTGTGGCATTTAGTGAAGTGGTAGACATGTAGTGTGCCTTAGTGGCTAATCTAGGTTAGAATCCATTATATTGAATATTTTTCTTCAAATTTTGCAAAATTGGAAAAACTTGCCTGAGTTGTCGGGCTACCGGTCCCATTGCCACCCTAAATATCTACTTAAAATTAAATTTAGATGGAAGCTCTTTTGGTAACCTAGGTGAATTGGGTATTAGAGATGTTGTGAAAGATTGGAATGAGGCAGTTCTATTTGGTTATGCAGGTCCGATTGGTTTGGCAACAACTAACTTTACTGAATTCACGACTCCACTTCATGATCTAAAGCTTTTTAGAATAAAAAGTTTTGGGACTATCTGTATTGTGGAGGCGGACTTATCAAATGTAATTAAATGGTGTAAGATAGAGCAATGTGTCCCTTAGGAGCTAGTGCTATGGATATGGTTGATAGTAGGACTATATCTTTTCACCATGCTTATAAGGAGGCTAGTTCTGTTCAAGTAGGTGTGTGGACTTCATTTTAGTAGTGACCAGTCTGCCATGTTTTTTGAGTTTTTGAACAATAACCATGTTTGTTAAACATAGAGCCAGTGGTTTAGTGTGCACTAAGATTCTCACCATTTGGGGGGTAATAGGCGTGCCAATAAGACAATAAAAAAGAAAGGCATAGTTTCAAAAAAAATAAGGGATATGTGAAAACGAAAAATTACCTGGACCACTTACACTGTTCAGCAGGTGACCCATGAACTTGGATTCCCAGAAGAGTGAACTGGGCTGATCATTTTAAACTAAGTGATTGTTCTACTCTGCTACGGCTGGTGGTACAAGTGAGGATATTTTTAGCAAATTGGCTGAGTTCAAATAACTGATTGGACAGAAAATTACTACAAACTGCGTGTGAAGCTTAAAAGTCAGTGCAGTTGCAGTTGCACAATTTATGCTTTGTTTTTTTTGGTGGGTGGGGAAATGTTCCTATAGGACAATTTCTGACCGATGTTGACATAGGAAAAGTCCCACAACCATTGGATCCCCATCTCACCTAGAGCTATGGAGATATGGTTAGGTGCTTGTTCAAGTGTACTTACCTAAGTACCATCACGCATCAAAGTTGGATATTGATCCATGTTTTGAGTCTACCCTTGTTCTGTTGTTGCTATATTATTCTGGTATTCTTGACACTGTTGATTTTATTTAAACAATGTCATTAAACTCAAAAAAGGGGGAAAAATGAGGTGAAGGTTCCTAATTTTTAGCACTGTGAGTTGTGTTTGCAGTGGATATGGGTAGGCGATATTTCCCGCATTGTTCAGAGGTGTTAGACAAGCTCATGGAGGATGACATGTCTGACCTCCTCTTTCTTGAGAATGGCACCCTAGAGGAGCAACGCGTAAAACGTCAGCGCTTCAATGAGGTCAAGGATGATGTACAAAAGGCCTTCACCAAGGACCAGGTCTTAGCAAAGTCCGGCACCTCCTCCTCTTCCTCTACGTCTTCTCTCAAGGACAGGCTTAGACATAGGCCAGGTGTTAAGAAGTAGGGGAATTCTGGTCTTTTTACCCTAGCATGGACCTAAGAGAGGGGATTTTGTCATTACATACCCGGTTTGAGGGCCTTATAGTAATTAGCCACCATGTACAATTAACCAGACATCCTCTCTCATGGGAAATGGGGCAATTTTGGCCATAAAATGGCCAAAAATATCAGGGCCGGTGGCGGTTTGGGCAATCAAGATTTAATATTCTACCACATCAGATGGTCTGGAGATATTATCTAATTTGACGAAATCGGATCTGTACTTGTAAAAATAAGAACCCTTTCTCTTTTGTTCTTTTCTCAGAATTATGTATGCCGAGGAATGATAAGTGTGACTTTGGAAGAGTATAAGCTCAGCGAGTCATGTAGTGGCATGATGTCATAAATATTAATCTTGTAGTTTATGTAAATGAAATAAATATGGGAATTGCTGTGTTCTGATTTTGCTTTGGTTGGTCTTTGGGAAATGGACACCAGATGAGTTCTCATTTTCAAGATTAAGTAGTTCATTGTAGTTGTTAGAGATATGAGGTAAGACTCAGGATTTTGCATTTTTTTATTTACATAACATCAAATAGAAGGTCCAAAAATATATTGCATGCGCACTAACATTGTTTGATTTGTGTATGGGACCATGGAAAAAAAAAAAAAAAATCATTATCAAAACTTCGAAGACTTCAGTAGCCAATCCTCTGATGCTTCTTTCCCATGAATTATCACTTAAAAACCACCCAAAAACTACAGAAGAAGAAAGAACTAGCAAAGAAAAAGGTAAATAACCATGGAAAGAAGAAAACCGTTTCTATTTCTACAGTAGAAAGAGAGAACTAAAGCAAAAGAAATTCTATTGCTTTGGTGGGATGGCATCACAGAAGGTCTTGAGCCACTTGGCTTTACGAAGATCGTAGCCGACCACAGAGAACATTTCGGGATAGCATTTGGGCCTGAGAGCCTCGAAGGCGTTGCAGAAATGCTGTGATGGCATTTTAGACCTTTTGAAGAAGGCACGCACCTCGTGGTAGAGGCCGTCAAGTGACCCCCAGCATGTCACCACATCGTCCGGTGACAGAGGCGGCATAGGCTCACAGGCAAGGGAATAGGCGGGTGCCCAACCCACCAAGGCTGAGGCTACTAGGAGCCAGGAGAGCACCACCAACCTCATTGCCAAGGTCATAGAGAGAGAGAGAGAGTCTTCAGAGAGAAGGGCAAGTTGGGGTCTTTGATCTTGGAAACAGGCGGAGGGTTAGATATAAAGCTGGCATTCAAGGTCAAGGCATTTTCAGGTAAGAACCTTGAACATCATAAATATACTGTCATTTACTTGCAGGAAATAACGGTTTTTATTTGTAGGGTCTTCGTAACGGCAAGCCTACAGAGCTTCGGTTTTGGGCTACTTTTCAAGTTTTTTATGCTGGTGTTAGGCCCAATGTAGGTTATGTCCCCTACAATCTTCGGAAAATATCACTAAGAAAGCCTAAAATTCCTTTTTGGGCTCCACTGCCTACAAAATCAAATTCGGCATTGGGATCCTGCAATTTTTTTAGGTAGTTGAGTGGAGTCAAACTTGAGATTAGGGGTGAGAATTTACCCGATTTGGATTTGAAACTCGAATTTCTGACTTATGGATCTATGATTTGGATACTGGATCCAAATAGTAATTTGGATCCGAGTACAGTAGATCCAATCTCGATTTGACCCAATTATTAAAATATTATATATATTATATAGAATTTTTTGTTATATATTATTTTATAGATATAAAATAATATATAAATCTATAAACTAATATATAAAATAAATTTTTTGGAGCCGGTAGGATCTAGATCTAAATCTCATGTATATTTTTCGAATTCAAATTCGGATCCCATATCTACTTTTAGGATCCAAATCCGGATCCTAATGGATTTGGATCCGATCCAACCATTCTCAGCCCTACTTGAAACGGTAGTTTTGCTTAAGGTCGACTGTTAACCAATAAAGCCCAAGCCCGATTGGGATACTATTCCATGACAGCATTTTGGCTTTCCTATATTTCACTAGCAGCACCCCAGATTTAGATTTTTATTTTTATATTTATATTTATTTATATTTTATTTTTTTAAACGGTTAACATTGATTTTCATTAGATAGTGGAGTAAGGCTCCTAAGATACATATTACAATACAAATACGAAAAAAGAAAAGGGAGGAGCACTCCCTAGATCCAATAAGGACCTATCCTAATACCTGAAACACAACAATCTCAACCTCGTCAATCCTATACCAAAAACTATCCATCAAATCCACTCAAAACAACTCACAAGAGCTTGAACTTCTCAGAACATCACTTCCTTGCTCAAGCTTCCCAACAAGTAGTACAAGAGAGCACATCCCCTTCAATGTTCTCCTCATAGTCAGGGTTGGGGCAGCCAACAACCCACACCAGTCTAACAGCACCCAAAAGATTATCGATATATGCTTGCTGGTGTAGCTGTGGGTGTCACAGCAGCAACCGCGACCCAACAAAAGGGCAAAAGAGGCCCAAGACAGAAAGGAGCAGGAAAGGGGGTCAAATAAGAAAAAGCTAGAGGAAGGGCAAGAGAGGAAAACGGAGGGAGTAGAAGAAGGTGAGGAAAATCAAAGCTCTCCCCAAAAAACTGTACTTGGCCACAAAACTAGAAAGTTGGAGCCTCAAAGGGAAACCCCAACCTCCGCGACGGGGTTCCTAGTGAACGAGCCCATCTTAGGTGTTAACCTAAAGTGGCCTCACACATGATCTTCCAGTCTCCTGAGAAACAGAAGGGTCACCCCATCTTAGACGTTAACCTCTTACTGGGGGGATATAAGATGAAAACAAGAGAGAGGGGTAAAGAGGACAGCATAGGCTAGGGCAGCCAGCAGGCCTATTGGCTGGGTGTGGTTATGGGCTGGGCTAGAGCAGCTCAAGGAATTGTTCGGGCCTAGGATGGGCCTGTATTTGGCTATAGAAATGAGGGTCAGGCCCAGCCTATTGGCAGCCCAATCCCTTGCTGTTCAACTAGTGAAAGATGATTGGGGTGTATCACCCTATGTTCATAAGTGATGATTACGAAAGAAGTGATGATTATGAATGGGAATCACTCACCCTAACCGTCCTTTTTTACATCGGATGGCTAGGAGGTGCGCGTGACTGTAGCAAACAAGAGTGTTGTCTTTGTGTGTGTCTATAACATGTAAAATTGCCAAGCATCAAACACATGACAATGAAATATATTAAGGTACAGTAGCTCTTTTAACCCTATTGTTGCCACATGTTCAACGAAACAATCAAATATTTTTAGTAGAAACTTTTATGTGGCAGCACCTACAGATAAATTATGAGTCTCGGTTCTTTCAGCCATCCGATCTAAATGGTTGACTATGATCGTTCATGTTACTATCCCGAACAAGTGGGGGAATCTCATCTATCTACCAACCAAACAAGATCGAAACGCTTTGAAGACTGTTGATCTCAATTGTAGGCTTGGAAATTTAGGATTGATCAATGGTAGTGGAGAAAACTACTATTATAGTGAGCAATTAATCTGGCCATCAAGTGCAGGTTTGATTGGACTAAAAAAATTGCAAAAGATTAATGTTTGGACCGAGTTTATTGGGCCAATTTTAGTAGCCTAGGCACTATTTAGGGCATGGCCATGACCTTTGGGCCAAATTTAGTAGCCTAGGCACTATTTAGGGTTGGACCTTTTTCTTAATTCATAAAAGAACCAAAAAAAAGAAAAAGAAAAAAAAGCCAGGCCGGATCATGAACCTAGGTTCAATCTTGGCCTGGACACAAGGCCTAGATTTTGGGTCCGAGCTTGCTGTAGGGCCAACTTTAGTCGCCTGGTGCTGAGCTATATAGGGTCATGCCACCCCTACTATTTAAACCAGTGTTTCAAAATCGGCGGTCCGATTTAGAAACGCCCAAGTCAAACTGTTACTAAGAAATAGCCGATCTGATTTTATGCACAACTTAGAACTCGGCCAAATGGACCTAAACATTGCGTTAAAGAAGTTTTTTTCTATAAAACCATTATTTTAGAATGGTTTAAGGTTCCTAAACATTTATTAGACATTTTAAACTTTATATATTGTTTACAATTTTTTTGTCCTTTTTTTTCTTAAGTTGGCAGAATTGGAGTCACGGACTGTTTGACTCTGAACCAGTAGGTGATTGGATGGATCCTCCTGTCTGATTTTTAAAGCTCTAATATAGACATGCTTAACTTTCGTACTTTTCTTCATTTCAGTTACAATTTAGGTTTTCCCTCTCAATTTTTCTCAAAATAATTATTAGAAACTTATGTGCATATATATCCCAAGAACTAAGGGTGGAGAAAGATTTCCTTCATGTTATTATTATTATTATTTTTCTTTGGGATTGTATATTATGATACCATTTACCTTTCTTACAAGGAGGAAACAATCAAATTGGTTGGGGTGTGTCAGGAAGTTCAAGATTTTTTTTTTTTTAACTTTGAATCTAATCAATGACATGCTCACAACCACCCGATTTGAAATCTAAAGGACACGAATTTTTAAATTTCAAAATAAAACAAGATTTATCCATAATTTTTGAAAACTAAAAATGAAAATGTATGCAAAGAGAACATATACTTCATATTTTACAATTTAAGTTCTACTTTTTAAGAGTCTAAAGTGTATTTTAGTTTTATCACTTTTTCTATAGATTGAATTAAGCTCAAATTTACTATGTTCATACTTTTCATCATCAAATAGTTATAAAAAATATTTAAAAATAATAAAGAACCTAATACCCCAATAATATTCAGGGGTATGTTGGTAAATATATAATTTAAATTATTTTTTGTATATTTTATCGGTGTCTGGTGGTAAAAAGTATCAACATACCAAATTTAAGCTAAATGTGAAGTAAAAAAAAAAAGTTAAAAGTCAAAATACACTATAAACTTCCAAAAGTGGGACTCAAATGCATGAAATATAAGAATATTTTGAATTTCCAAAAATAAAATAGGTCTTCTGTGTAAATTTATCTTAATTGTTTAATTATAGCTCACAATATAGCAAAATAGCAAACTATAAATAGGAAAGCCCGGTAATGTTCGATGTTCAATGTGGACAATTTTACTTGTGTTGTGCTTTTTCATGATATTTTCCTTTGCTTTTGCTCTATGTGGATATTCTTTTCATCCTTTGGCTGTGTGGGGATGATATTTTTCCTTTGATTTTGCTCTATGTGGATATTTTCTCCATCATTTAGCTCTGTGTGGATGGCTTATGAATCATGATTTATGTAACACATTTGGTACAAGGTGGTCACAATTACTTATAACTATTTGATTTGAAATCTGATAGTGTTTGTATGTCAAAATTCAAAAAAAATTCTTTTGACTTTGAGTTTGGTCAATGAAATAAGTAAAACCACTTAATTTACATCCAATGGTCAAGATTAATTGTGAC